GAATGCTTCCGAATCGAGTGGCTTTCGTGTCTAGAACCGACGTGGTACGACTGAGAATCCATTATTCGAGACGATTAGTTAGATGGTGGAATTTTTTTTTGTTTTGGAATGAAATTGATGACATTTTTATTCATTTGTGAGATGTGTAGAAGTTCGAAGAAGTATCTGGACCAGTTCGTTGACTGGAAAGATGTTAGAGGTTTTGGGATGAAATCGTGAAAGTGTTTGAAAGATGGTGGAATAAAATGGCACATGTGGGTGAATGAATTTATGTGTAAATATGTGAACATTGTCTTTGAATTTTATTTTAAAAATGCTATGAAATTTTGTTCCAACCAAAAATTTGGGGAAACGCATAAAGTTTTGAGAGGTTTTTCGATGTTGAAGTATCGTCCCTCATCCTTCGAATTTTTATTTACTTTCTTAACCCTTTGTACTTCGAGCTTCTTTTGATAAGATCGTGAATATTACAGTATCAAGACTAAATTCAGACGAGAAATTTTCAAAATTTGATGAAATAAAAATCGCCCCAAATGCGAATATCTCTAAATTCTAAAGCACTGGAAAATTCATCGATCGTTTCTAAATATCACAGAAGTATCAAAACTAAATTCAGACGAGAAATCTCCCAAATTCGGTGAAATAAAATCGCCCCAAATGCGAATATCTCTAAATTTTAAAGCACTGGAAAATTCATCGATCGTTTCTAAACATCACAGAAGTATCAAAACTAAATTCAGACGAGAAATCTCCCAAATTCGGTGAAATAAAATCGCCCCAAATGCGAATATCTCTAAATTCTAAAACACTGAAAAATTCATCGATCGTTTCTAAACATCACAGAAGTATCAAAAACTAAATTCAATCGTAAAATCTCCCAAATTCGATGAAACAAAAATCGCAGGGAAAGCGGAATCTTAAAAGTTCCACCGATAAAAGAACGATAGAAAATCGTCTCACAATTGCCATCTCTGTCTCCGAAATACTCTGAGGGGGTTAGAGGGTAGAGAATATTCGGAAGGATCGCAGAGATGGGAACGGGGTCTGAGAACGCTAATGACGATCTTTCGGCCGGTTTCCGGAATTCTGCACACGATCTGCAGAAATCTGCCTCACCAGGGTATGCAACTATGCAGCGGCAGGCATTGCTCACGCTCTTGATTTCCGTTGGAATCCAAGCAAGAGAGACGCGAACGCCGAGTTATATCTTAACAATGAAATATATTCCAGCAACAGTTTCTTGCTACGTAGCCGAGCGCGCAATGTCGTTT